ACCCATCGATAGCTTTCTATTTCCATCAACAATTCGAAAAACTCATTATAAAAGAAATCACTTTCAAGCACAAGCTTAATCCATTTCAAAAAGTTTTGACTCATCACAATTATATATGCTCATTTTCCTTTATTAGTTTTCGACCATTTGGATTGTGTCATCACCACTAGTAAACATTGAACTCCGGCATAGTGACTAATAAGGTAGCAAACCTAATAACTAATGAGGTCGCAAAACCTAATAACTCCCCACCTCATATTGTCCTTAGTATACTTTGTCATAGTTGCCAACATCCTATTATGTGCATAAATGAAAATAGTTCAAGGTTTACACTTAGCAATCCAAACCTTTATTCTTTGCTAAATTGCTTCAAGCATAAGAATGACATTGTGTGTGGCACAGAATTCCACAACGTATGTGTCCTTTTCTTTTCAACAATTGGTTGGCCTCCATATTATTAGAAGCATTGTCCATCAAACCTATATGACATTTTGTGGCCAACATCCTCAATGCATATCTCAACAAATGTACTTCCATGTATGTGCATCTTGGGAACATTCAACGAAAGAAAGAAAACTTGTACCTTCCATAGATTTTACACAAAAATTCATTATGTTTCTTCATTTTCGATCTGTCCAACCATCTGTCATAACTGAACAACCATTTCGTGCCGACTCTTTTTTCTTAAGAAGCCCTTTAGTCCTCTCAACTTCTTCTTTCAATAATGTTCCCGAAGTTGATATTGACTTGGAAGACGGTAACCGGGGCATATTACTTATTACCCTATTGTTTGCAGTAAACTTGTTACATCCATCCTTACCGATAACATGAAAAGGAATACCGGATTCATATACCATTGATGTAACTATGTGTTCTTTATTTGCCAAATACATATTTAAGAACTTGTTAGTGCACATAACAATTCGGGCAGTGGGATTATTAAAATTAGCAAACTTGTTCACATGTCCAAAATAGTTTGTCTTCTATCTCTTTGAGTCCAGGTTCACCTCATTTTCAATTATTCTTCTTCCCAAATTCTCCTATTTCCACTTCTCAAGATTTATGGCACACACTACCTTACATTCTTTGCTTGCATTTTTACATATGATCACTCTTTCCTTTTATTTTTAAATTGAGATACTTCAACGTAGTGAGTCCGACTCTAGATACAAACCGGCATAAGTTGCATTCAACTGCAACTCTATTTGTAGCATCCATATTACCATGATTCCATCTGATATCACGCGAATTCTTTTTCAAGAGTGTCTTTGTACGAGAATTAGGTATGGTTGTTAAAAGTTAATCCGGCTAAACCATCCATATAGGAATCTCGTTGGACTTCTATTTTAAGAAGAAGAACAAACAACAATGGTCAAGCCATCACACCCATAACTAATATTAAGTGTCCGTTATGATGTTCTTATTCTTCTTGAGTTTGAGCGTTGCACTCTACTAGTGACAACATGGGCATTGTTGTTTGTTCATCATGTTCTTGAAGTAAGAGTCTAATGACTATCCTGGTTTCTATATTAGATGGTTTACTCAGATCGACCATAACATCGAAAGCAAGTTTTTGTACGAACGAACTCATGGAAAAGAATTCAAGTCATATGGGATGGAATTATGGTACTCTGTGTGATCCTACAAGATGCAATCAAATAAAATTTATACAGATGTGTAACTAGAACATGAATCATTATGCTAAAGTACCACATTATGGGAATAAAAGGAAAGGGTGTAGCCATGTGTAAAAATGAAAGGAAGATAAGGTTGTGTTTGTCACGTTACTTGGAATGCGTAGAAAAGAAGAAAGAAAAAGAAAAAGAGGAGAAAATTATGACGAGTTGAAATAAAAAACGAGGTGAATTTGGGGTCAAAGAAAAAGAAAACAAAGTATCTAGGGCCAACGGACAAGTTTGCTAATGTTATAATTCCCGATTCTCCAACTCTTACTGTGCATCAATAAAATCTTAGGGATGTACTTGATAAAAGGAAGAACACATAGTGTACATTGATATTGCGTTTGATGTTGGTTATTTTAGTGAATAACTAGGCCACTCTGTGTGAGGGGTTGACAGTTAAACTAATGCAAATAGATTTTCCATTGATCAGTAGGTGTTTCCACCAATTTGTAACTGAGGAATTTAATTTCGTAACTATGTGGTAATTGCCCATAATTTTCGGTAATCATTTTCCTTTAATGGGGGCATTCATTCTTGGTTGTAACGTACGCACTGTTACGATTTCTCTAAGTTTATAGGTCAAGATTTCTACCAAAATTGTCACTGTGGATTGAGATTATCCTCAAGTAAATATCGTAATATCCAAGCAGATTAGGGTCGAAATAGTACTTAAAGAAAGTGAGCTCTTATGCAATATCATATTCTTATCCAAGTGATTACTTTGATTTCTCATCGGATTTGTTTCCTCTAACACTTGATGGGGGCGTACGAAACAGCTATTCCTTTTCATGTCATCAGTAATGAGAAATTTTAGTAGTTTATTGAAGCATTCAAGTAATATGCCATAGGTTATCGTCCTCCAAGCCAATATCAACTTAGGGAACCATTATTGAAGAAGATGTTGAGAGGGATAAAGGGATTCTCAAGAAGCGGGAAAAAGTGTGGGCATGGTTGTTCGATTATGACTAATTGTTGGACGAATCAAAAACAAAGAAGCATCTAGGGAAGGTACATATTTTCTTGCTTCCATTAAATGTTCCAAAGGCATAGACACACAAAAGTACATCTTTCATTTTGTTGACAGTGCATTGAAAATGTTGGGCCAAAATAAAGTCATAAACATAGAAAAAGGGTTTGCACTACATTCAAGAGTGCCCTTACTACACGTCCCATGGCCATCATAGGGAGGTAAATCATGATGCTCTACGGTGGGGGCAGGGTTGGATTTTAACCAAGACCTTGTTCTAAAAACATCAATCCCTTTCCAGTGGGACTATTCAGAAAGGAATAATGTCATACAATTTGTGATGGACAACGCTTTCAATAATAGGATAGTCGTCCTATTACTGACAAATAAGAGGCCACACATCTTTTGCACTTCTTGTGCCATACACACCACCAACCTTATGCTTGAAGCAATCGGTAAAGAAGCCAAGTACAAAGGTTAGATGGCTGGGCAAAGACTAACCATTTTCATTTAGGCAATTCATAGGATGTTGGCAATGATGAGAAACTTTACAAAGTTTAAGGACATTTTGAGGTTGGTGTTGGTAGGTTAGCTACCTCATTACTCGCTTGCAAAGCTTAATATTTACTAGTGATGATTAGGCACAATCCAAATGGTCCAAAACTTCTAGAAGAAAAGGAGCATGTGCAACCATTATGCGCCCATTTTTTTGAAACAAGGTAAGTTTGTGTTTGTGGTGTTTCTCCTATAGGGAGAGTTCTTCGACTTGTTAGAGATCAAAAGTCGTCATGTAGCTTCTTGTATGGAGGCTTAAACAAACAGAGTAAGATATCAAAATGGCTTAAAAGAATGTGGTGATTAATATCGTCATATCACAGACGTTGTTGAGACAAAAGCAAAAGGTCGAGTTGATAGTCTGTTACATATGGTGACCAACAATTTGAATCCTTATTATTTCTTCAAAGATCAAGGCATAAAAATGATTGTATGGTTTCAGATGCGCTTTTCACATGTTATGAAAAGTTTTTCGTGATGAATTTAAGAAGCGAGAACTAGTAAAGTTATGGAGTACCCATAGTACAAGGGAAAGAAAAGATTTCGGAAGGATGTTAGATGCAAATGGGTGTTTAGAAAATAATTATACATACATTCCATGATCCGGGTATGCATCACCTACCTATCTACATTTGTTTAAATTTTAACCTATTTAACTTCTTATATGCGCTCTTTTATATTTGAGTAGTTACTTGGTGGATGACTTACGGGAATGCAACACCAACTTTGCAAGATATGGTCACAAAGATCCTTTCATTGACCACTTGCTCATCGGGATGTAAAATATTTGAGTACTTCTAAGAGGGTAAGTAATTATGTGCCAACACAAATAATAACTACCATTATTTTAATATTATACATATTTTTAGCTAATTTTTTTTAACCTTTGTTACTTGGATACACACGCAAGGAATAGGCTTGACGATGAAATATTGAATGATCTTGTATTTGTTCAATTCAATGCCAAAGTCATAAACAAGTGGGGCAAGAGTGAAGAATCAAAATACGGATATATTATGTTCTCTTGATGCTAGCATATAGCATGATCATACATTTTTGTTCTTATTGATATGCATGAGGAGATGGAGGAAGGTGGTGTTCTAGAGGTGGTCAGAGAAGCAATACATGCTAGAAACCAAGAGGCTAGACAACTTCACGAGGATAATCATGAGTTGGATAAAGAACCACAAGACGAAGGTGAAGAAGATTAGTTAACTCCAATGATGGACATTTGGAGAGAAATGAGGAAGATTACATGGAATGATAGCTCATAGCTTCATCTTGAACATCTAAATCTAATCTAACACTTTTTTTTCCAACAAGCTTATACTTTACTTCTTGTTAACTCTTAGTATATGATTATGACCTATGTTCTCATACTTGTATTTAGTCTTAGATTAGAATTATGTGGAACCTAAGCTTTATCTAATATCAATATTATATTTTTCCTTTTTATATGAATTTAAATTGTTCAAATATAATAGTTGAGAACATTATATGCCTTTTTCTGTTAAACCACTCCTTGACACGCAGCTTAAGAATTAATGCTACATTAATCATATACAAATAGAAAAACTACCAATTTCAGCCTAAATAGGGATTCATAGATGTAGCAAGATTCTCAATAGTTCAAGCTTACTTGAAAGTAAACATGCATTTAGGTTCCATAACTTGTATGATTCTATGTATTTATCTTATGCTGATTTATGTTCCAGATCCCCGATACCCTAAAAGAAGTTGCTACTAAACTATCATGCCAAAATTCAGAAAATAAAGTAGAATTACTCAACAGTTTCGCACTCAAAAGATTGAAATATCATTTGTGACTGAGGTACAGTGATGATACAGTAATTCTACAAGCTCAGCAAAATGTAGCAGGTAATTGTGTTTCATTATTCAAGCAAAAAATCATGTTGTTATCTTTACAAAACCATGAAGAACCAAGGACCATGCAGACTAATGAGAAAAAAAGATCAGCGATATTATAGACTTCTGGGGTCACATCTCTGAAGCCAACAATTCTATTCACGTTCACATTGAGCCTGTAGAGACGACAGATTTCGGCATACATCAATACTTTGCCATACAGCACTAGTTAATTTACTACCTTATTAGCAAAAGATGGATGCATTACATAAATTATATATTTTTATAGTTACTTTGGCCATTAAATAAAATAATTGGGTCGAAAACAGGGTGTAGGCCATCACATTATTTCTATATATATGTATGCATAAAATCTGCATCCGTAAAAGCTTATGACTACTCGCCTTAGGTAATAACAAACCTGTCCCTACTTTCTTAATCTTTAAAGAACTATCAATGAGATAATGTTTTTACTTCCTTGTTGAATATTAAGTTTCTTAACAGTCATGCAGCTCTAGTATGATTTAAAAAAAAACAAGTTAGCTTATATGCAATAACATGTAATATTCTTTTTTTAAGTAGCCGTGAGTGTCTGGCTTAGCTTATGCGCACCTCAACTAATTCCATGGGGCGCTGAAGTTTACAGTCAGGCAAACTTCCCAGTGGCTGTAGGGGACTTAAACTAACGACCTCTAGGGAGCAAACTCAAAGTCTTACTAGCTGAGCCACCCCTCAAGGTTGTAATATTCTATACTTGTCAAAAAGCTACTGCCAGATAGAACAGAATGACTATGCAACTAGTCAACAAAGTCCTTTTACCATCTACTTCAAATTTTATTCACTCCAAAACATTGTTACCATATAATAAAAGGATATAATGCAGTACTTAAGAAGGTAGGCAACTAGGCATACGGTTAGAGAGTACAAAGCATCAACATGTCATATGAAGACCGAAGATATGTGATAGATGAATGGTAAAGAAGAAAATTTGTAACAAGAAAAAGTGAATTTACCTCAGCCGCCAACTTCTATTGTTGAAGCTGCCCATTGTTATGATAAAAATATGAACATCATGATTGCATAGTTTTGTTTTGTTTTAAACGAGCTGCTGCCTTGAATGACTGGCATTTCCACAGTGAACTCCGCTCAATAGGCATCACACTATTAGCAGAAGGCCCTACAGAAAGCAAGCTCTTGTCTTTGGCAGTAGTCACTTTCCCTATATTTTTGTCAACCAATTCAGAGCTTCTCCATCTTCGATCTTCTTTGGGGTTCAGTTGATCTCTGTCATGACATATACTTAAGGGCAACTTCTTCTGTTTCATTCTTCCCCTCTTTCTACCAAGAGTACTCGAGTCGTCTTCACCAAATTTTACCTTTGAATGTATCCTGCGTGAATCCCCATTTTCACTTTCTGATATGTCAACTTTACTGATTTTAGTCGCGTTTACATCTACATCAACAATGTGTGCCACCCTTTCACAGATTAATTTGTTTCTATTGCTAGAAGAAGGAGAATTCTCTTCAGCAACTACACTTTGATCGTTATTTCTGCCATTTTCTGAAATGGTCGGGATTTTCAGCCTCTTATGCTCATAATCCTTTAAGTCAGGAGCCGAACCATATTTTGAAATTCTAGGGGAGCTGTTTATGACTTGATGCAACTGACGAGCTAATTCTTCATCACTCGTCTTATCATTTTCAACCCTGGGTTTCTTATTGTCATACAACATTTGCACCTCAACACGTTTCTTCGTTTTGTTCTTCTTCAACTGTTGTTCGCTAGAGGATGAAGTCTCTTGCTCATCTATAGCTGCTACTAATTCTAAAGCTTTCTTGGCGGCAGCCATGGCCATGGTTGCGATTACAGCCTTCTCCTGAGCTGCAGCTCTTGCAGCTATTGCAATCTTAACTGCAACCTCGGCTGCTGATCTGGCAGCCTCCACGATCTCCTCTTGGGAAGGATTATCATCACTCAAATGAGCACTCAACATATTATTGATACGGGTATTAAAATTAATCATGGGGCTAGAAGTGGAAGGCAGATAAGAATTTCCATTTACATTTCCATTGCCGTTGCCACTGACATCTCCATTCTGCTTTTTCATACAGGCAAGCAGCCGCTTTCTTGGGGGCAAAAGCACATTAGAGTCCAAATGCCCGGCATCACATGTATTTGCTTCCATTATCTCTACATCAACATAATTCCTTTACACACTTTTGCCAAGATTTTCTCTATATAAATATAAAAAAAAGTAAATCAAAGTTTCAGAAACCTATATAGCATGAAAACAATCAGAAACTGCATAATTACCTAAGTCCTGCAACCTAAAGCTCCATTTCTATCAACATTCCTTAAATTCCACTAAAGTTCCTCCCTAATTATCAATTTCATTTACTACCATATATCAATTCAAGTTTAGATCATCCAGATTCAATTCCACATAAGCAAACAAGATTACGAATTGCTAAGCCAATCACAAATCCTTCAACTTTATAATTAAACAGATAATTTGATATGAATCCAGCTACTAATAAAAGTAAATAGGTAAGGACGAGTTTGATTCAGATGATTTCACAAATCTAACAATTGAAGATGTGTGTTCACCGAATACATAATCGGATTGAAGAGAAGGATATACATCTAAGAAGGATTGATAAAAACGAAGAGAAACAACATACCTACCTGATCTTGTTATGATTGAGAAAGGGGGCATGTGTTGTTAGGGTTAGGGTTTTGAAGAAAAATGGTGTGCAAAGAACATTTTATAGCTGTAGAAGCACATGAAAGCAGTTCCCCTTTCCAAGCATGGCATGGGGTGTCTGGGATTTTCAAAGTTATTAGTCTCAGTTAATATGTAGTTATTACATTGAATGTAATTTTATACGGTAAAAATGTTAAAAAAATCAATTTACTTTTATAAATTTTTTTATTATAGCATTATATTTTCAGTTTTTATTATTACAACAATATACTTTTAAAATATTTTTATTAGGATACTATACTTTCAAAAATTTACCCGTTGTAACATTGAATAATCTGTTACCTTTTGAACAGGTTTTTCTTTATAGACTTATCAAACTTAAAATGGCATGGAAATCACATAGGATAACATGTTACAAATAACAACCTACTTTTACAAATTCTCTTATTATGATATTGTACTTTCAGTTTTTCTTATTACAATTATATACTTTCAAAATATTTTTTATTAAATAATCGTACTTTCAAAAATTTACCCGTTATAGCATTGGGTAACCTTTTAAATTAAATTTATCCATTATATCAGGTTTCTTTGTCACCTTATCTTCGAGTTTCATACTAATTTTGTATATCAATTGCATGGAATCATGACCAAAGCTCATTCCCAAAAAAAGGAGGTCAAGTAAAAGGATAACTTTGAACAACCTACGAAAAAATACTATTGAGAAAGATGGAGAAGGTAGTAGTTGTGACAAGGCGGTTCTACTTGATTAAATATCATTATTAGACGAATGTGAATAAGATGAGTTTTGTTTTTTGAAAAGACGTTCCACTTGTTTAGTTTTTGTCATTACAAAGTAATCCATAAATTTATGATGAACTCGATGAACAAATGATTTTTTATGAATATTTGTATTCGTGAAATAATGATATTTTGTAAACATTTTAATTTATGATATTATAATTTTTAGTAAACATATTTGATTAAATTTACAATGTTTAAATGATAAAAAATATTAAAATAAAAAATACAATATTGTAATGGAAATCGATGATGTTACAATAAAGTAATTTTGAAAATACAATGTTATAATAAGAAATGTCATGTCAGTACTATCGTACATCTGGACAACCTATGTGGACGATGAGGTGGCAAATAAACCTGGTATAATGAGTAAATTTAATTTAAAAGGTTACTCAATGCTATAACGGGTAAATTTTTGAAAGTATGATGTCCTAATAAAAAATATTTTGAAAGTACATTGTTGTAATAAGAAAAACTGAAAGTACAATGCTATAATAAAAAATAATTTGTAAAAGTAGGTTGTTATTTCGCGTATTTTGCCCATTTTATATTTATTTAAAGTCTATTTGTGTAATGAAACATCAAACATTTTAATTCTTAATTTTAATTTATGATTCGTTTTATTCTCTTGTAACTCTCGATTTCATTTTGTAGTTTTAGGTGCGAGAGACTTTTCAATTAGTATTCAGTTTGTGGAGTATTATATATTTATGTTATATCAGCAAGGTTAGTACTATATAAAAAGAAGGTGATAGGGAAAGGCACCGCTAGATCGACTTTCAAAGTCCGGTTGGATGGGAATGATTTCCGGGGAAGAAGCCCCGGCTGCCATGCCAGCTCGATCTAAGGTGGGAAGGGATCGAGACCTTTCTCGCGAAGATGGTCTTCTATAGTTTCAAAATCTCGACTTTATAACAAAACTACTTATAAAATAATAAGCATTAATCAAGAATATTAAGAGAACTGAGGAAGATAAGTTCAAATGTTTTGTAACAAAAATACTTGCATGTAGTGGTGGGCCTAGTTTTTTTGCCCACCAGATGCACCTTTAAACTGATTCAAAGGCCCATAAAATTGTTCAATGTGTTTTTAATAGAATTTCACTGCTTCAAGGAATTTCTTTAAGTTTTTGGTTGATTTTGAGGGACTTTTAAGGTTTTTTGGTTGATGTTCATGGCATTCTATCCTGAAGCACCGCTAAAAGTTTAACGGTGCATCTTTCATACTAAAAAAAAGTTACTTGTGAAATTCAATTGAAAGGATGCATGGGATCCCGCTTTGGCATGAATAGGTCTGCCCCTGCTTGCATGTAAATATATTCATGATAAAAACTTGAAAATCCAATCGAAAAAATTGGAAAAGATATATTGATATAGGTATCAAATTTAAGAGAAAAAACACTCGTTTTTCAATATCATTTATATAATTATATATTTAACATGGTGCTTAGTGTGAGCTAAATACACACAACAAAATTTTCAATTTTAACTACGTAACACACATGAATATAAAAGCTTCCGTTTAAAGCCATTCGTAATTTCGTTGTGGGTGGAACTCGATAAGTATATATTGTATAAAGGCATCAATCATCTACGTGTGTTTGGAGATCAAATATGGAATTGTTGCGCAAAAATGGGGCCTATGTGACCTCGCATACGACCCTGGGTCACGACTAAGGTCATGTGGCTCTCTGGAAATCGAGGCAGGGGTCAGTGCGGCTCAGCATGCGGCATAGTTTCGGGCCAAACCTCGTGAGTCACTAGACATGGGTTAGGGGACGCATAAGGTGGCAGGCACGATCGCTTAGACCATCTGATGGCTTAAAGTGGACTATTTTTCTTAGATTTGCTCACTTTCTCATCTACTTCTCATTTTATCTCATATTGGGTGATTTTGAGAGCTTGAGGTTCGAATTTTGGGCCATTTAAGAAGCCTTTGGAGTGCTTCATTGTGAGATCTAACTTGAATGCTTTATGTTCTTGAAGGGGTAAGAATTTTGAATGTTTTGAGATCTAGTTTGGGTTTTCGTAGACTTGAACCCTGTGATCACATTTAGTGCCTTGTTAGGATTCGACTGTGCTTTTGAGAAGTTTCCTTGGAAAGTTTTGCTCGTGGATCTCAAATATCCACCTTTGGATGTTGAAGATCTGGGGAGCTAGGAAGTTAACCTAGTAAGGTGAGTCTCAACTTGTTTTGTGAAAACTATTTAATGTTTTGACTTGAGTCTCCAAATGCTATCTTACGATTTATTATTCATTTTACGGTGTTTTTTGGGTTTATCATACCTTGGGTATATTTAGTTTCATAAAAAATGTGAGGAAATATTTGTTTTTTGGGTTGATGGACATCTGCACAATATTATGAGAAAATGCATATTTACTGAGTAATTAGATTTCTTAAATGATACATCATCTGTTGGTGAATTGTTCTGTGTTGTCAAGTAAGAAGTTTGAGGTTCCTATTTTGAATTATAGTGAGTATATACTAAAAGTCGCATGAGAACCTTGATGTGACACTCAACTAGATAACGAATGAAAACTAAGATTTGGTATTCTTAAGGTGACACCTGAAGAAGTGTGCACTGAAGATACGGTAACCTTCAGGTAAAACTCGGTGGAGTAGGCACTAAAGATATCGACGACTTAAGGTGACACAAGTTGGTATAGTATGCACTAAAGCCAATAATTTGAGGTGTAATTTGATAACTTTGATACACGACTTACTTTTGTGTTTAGCTGCATTCAATGGAAACGAGTCTCCCCCATCATCAAAAGATGTGTTTGTCTTTCTGAATATTTGTGTAAAAGACGATTTTAGAAGGTGTCGTGCTTCAAGTTTCTTGTGGGAATGATACTAGCGACACTTGTAAATAGTAAAGTCTAGTTAGAGGCATGAGAAGGGTTTAACTATTTTCATATGTCCTCCATACTTTGGAGATAGCAATCAATATTTGGTTTTTGGTAACATCAATGCCTAACCTAAACCCTGTGTAAGGATTTGCTTGGGAAGCTGTTGACATCAATATTGGTTTTGCCTTGTAAGTATCTCCAGAATCCTCTTTGGAATTGAATTGGAGTAATTATAGTGTTTACTAAAAGCTTTAAATTGGTTGCTCTCTTTTTCAGATGTTTTGGGTGTTACAAATTCTGTATGTTTTCATATTATCATGAAAACAAAAAATGAGAGGCATATACTAAACAATCTGAACTGATGACAAGTTTGCTCACATAAAAATGCTGAAAGAACAGTCATGTTGAATATCCTAACAAAGATAGTATTGAAGAATTGTGAAGAACTTCAAAGGGTTGAAGGTGTCAATTTGCAAAGAAACTATGTTTAGAAATTCTCAAAAAAAAATTGCATATGACCCACAAACAACCTTTTATAGCAGCTTATGCATTTAATGCGACATTGCAACTTTAACATGTGTCTTTGTCTAATTTGTTGATCCATGTCCTTTATACTTATCATACTAGTCAGCCGACACATTCGATATGATATAGACATTTATTGTTCTAACCCATATTTTCATGCGCAAAGTGAACACTAAATTAAGTAAAGTAGACATACTTTTGCACTTATTTTTGCTAACATCGAAACATATTCCCACACTAGGATACAAGTTAGTGAAAATTGTTGGGTGAAACTTTGTCAAAATATGTGGTTTATCAGCCTTCTGATATTCTATTGGCTAGATGATTCACTAATTCACTTTGGTGTCGATCTGATTTCACTTCAAATTACTGAAAGCATTTTGCTTGACCAAATAACATATTACAGTAGGAGTTCTAAGATATTATAATTGAAATTCTATTTTGAATAATGACTGGTATCCAAATTACAAGGTGCATTTTGGATAGACCAAAATCAAGTCCTCCTCTCTTTTCGGATCCTGAATCATCGAACCCTATTCAAATAGGATCATCTAACAATTCACATCCTCTTATGTTCTATCTATATGTCGATGACACTAAACTTGACGATACAACTAATGATACACGATCCTAAAGGGTCACACACATACAAGTAAATTAACCTCAATCGTACGATCGAATGTGATTCGATTATTTTCAATCCAAACAATTGTCATGCAAATTATTATCTAACCAAAATAATAATTTTTGATAATAATATAAAACATATGTTATATATATTTTGACTAGTGTTTAAGTCTAATATGTATTTAATTTATATTATTATTTCCATTGTTTTAGATGTACACTTAATTTGTTATGTGTGACATTAATTATATAAGTTTTATATTTTGATATAAAATTTATATGAAATAACTAATAACTAACTAATAAAACTATGCTCAGTTTTAGGTTGTTTATTAGTTCATTTCTAAGTATATTGGTTGCTTCCAAGTACACTACAAAGGACATTTAAAATATTAAACAAACGATGACAAGGTATGAGATGTAAGAAGTATGTTGGGAGACATGACCTCCAATTCTTTCTTCTTTTGAATCTATCATATATATGTATGTGTGGTGGTTCAACAAAAAAGAGGGAATACAAAGTCTCATACTATCCTAACTCTTTCTAAGTTTTCTCTCTAAAATTTCAAGTGTTCGAGACTTTTGAAAAAGAGTTATTGGGAGAAAAAGTGAAGAGATACATACTTGGTTTTTATTTCTAAGATAGAGATAAAAACACACTACTTTGGGTTGCAAGAAACTAGCATTCAAAAAAGAGGTTGCTTGGTGTGGATCAACTTTAAAGGAAGACCCGTTTTTCTTCTGCACCCGACATCAATGTTCAAGCTTCAAAGCTTGTAGTTCTAAAACTCACTATGGTTGTGTTTTTCGTTTTTCTAAGTTCTTTAATGCATGAGATCCTTGTTGGGAGTTTTTGTGAAAATCGTTGTAGGTTTATTTTATGCTTCCGTTGCTATCTTTAATAATATTGTTTTAAAGTTTCCTACAAATCCCTTCATCTTATATATTTTTCGGATACAAGACATCAATTACAATCCTATAATTAAGTATTTGATCGAATGTTATAACATGTTATCATCAAATCCAAATAGTTGAGTCCAACACCTGCCAACCAAACACTTTGTGAAACTTAATAACATATCATTCAAATTTATTTTAGATTCCAATTCCTTTGACAAATTTCATTTCTTCAAAAACACATTATCTGAACCTACGCATTTTGCTCATGATGTCATACATAAGTTACTCTAAATGCCCGTTTCGTAACTTTGCTTTGCTGGATTAGGTAGAAGCTGGAATTGAATTTCTTTCAATCTTGTTACTAGTTTGAAGGGAAATTTAGATTTGAAATCCCACACTTCAAATGAATTCGCCTTACTAGCGGATTTAGAAATCCCTTGGGCCTGCTTGGATATTGTAGCATACAGATCGATTACATGGAGATAATAATAAGCACAAGGAAATATTATATTGTGAGTCAGTTACACGAAGATAAACGAAGAGATTCACATTAACTAAACTAAAGAATCAACAACGAGAAGGAAACATGATATAACTTCTATTAAATGAACTGACACCAAAATACCTAAGCCCTTCTTTCAAGACGAGAAATGATTGTTGTATAATAAATTGATATATGCATTAGGGTTTAGCTATGACAATTCTCGACTAACATTCCCACCTATTTTCATGTGAGAATACCTATCAAAATTCAGGTTCTCAAACTCAAGATTGAATTTTTGTTAAAATCATGAATAACGAGATAATTAATGTCAATCCGTGATCTAAAATTAAGCCCCAATTGATTCAACTTTTACTGGAAACCTATAAATATCAACATAAATAAACAAATCTATCCAAATATCCAGTTCCAAAGCTACAACAATTTCATATGAATAACGTTAATAAGATCATCTGATCACCAGAATATGTATTTATACCTGAGGTTAAATAAGTGGCGAAATCCCAAAGTCCTCCTCTTAAAAAACCCGTTTTCCTGACATTTCGGCCGTATAAGCGAGTTTGGCACGACAAAGAAACATGGTACATTCTTGAAAAACAAAACTTTTGGAACTAACGAGTGATCGGTTTCGTCGTAAACCTAATTGGACTATTTAGTAAACACATGTTGTCTCCTATCGAGTAACAATACACTTATTGTTTCTTATTGGGTAAGAGACACTTACCTTGTTAGAAATGATGACATTTACCAAAAATCTTATTATAATATTTTACTAATCGAGAACCATACCTCGTAAGTGAGGGTGACACTGACAACTTCTACCCGGTTAACGCTCAATGTATAATAGGCAATTAAATTATGCTACTTTGATAACCGGATATATTATCCGGCATAATAAGCCGGTAAGCATTTATCCAATTTGTTTTAGTAAGAGGGTGTTTGGGATTGCTTATTTGAAACAACTTATGTTTTTCTACAAAAACACTTATCAACTTATTATAAGTCAGAAATGTTTAACTTCTTCAAAAACTTTTTATTACCGATATAAGTTGTTTATCCAAACACTCAAAAGTGTTTATTATCAGTGTCACACCGAAATAAGTCAATAAGTTGTTTTTATAAACAAAAATAGAATAAGAAATGCAAATTAACCTTCAAAGAATTCAAATTTTGGTTAAATTTTATATATATTTGCTATCATTTGATTTGATAAATTGTTGGTGTTTGATTATTTATTTTTTTAAATTAATCAATAAAAAAAAATACATTTAATTTATTGGTACCAGACGACATTATTGATCGATTAAAGGGTTGAATGTAGCATCTGAGATGCATAAGCTACAACCTTCTAATGCCGTTCTTTTGGGAATGAGGTGACGGCATGCGCCCCCTCCAAAACTTCCACCGTCACTTCCCGCTTGAAATCCCTAGCTACAATTCACTCCCTCCAAGCACCCATCTCCATTTTTCTCTACAAACTTTGTTGCACAGTTCTTTCAGGGCTCTTCATCTGTTGACTATTTCAGTTTCCCCCAAATCCTACACCGTTGAATCTCTTCCTAAAGGTAAACAGTTTCATTTTTGATCGTTTTACAGTCTTGTATATGGTTTCTATGGTTAATTTTGTGTTCGTTCTTTGGAATTTGTTTTGTTAATTCTTGTCTGCTGTGCGGATTTGTTTGTGATTCTTGCGATATGGTTGGGTTTTTCGTGTTAACTTGCAATAGTTATGTTATACTTAACTGGAGTACCAAAGGAGTAAGTTTAATTCTGCAAGTCTTCAGCCTTTAAATTCAGGCAGGAAGTAATCAATTTTGTGAGAACCATGAGTGGCAATGCCTTGGTATAAAATAATTAGAAGGAAAATTATATAAATGCATAGTATTTTTTCGGTTACAAATTACAATCTTGAATGAAAATTCTGAGTATACTTTTACAATTTTGTTAATTACAGACAAAGGAATGAAAAAYTTGTAGGTGGGAACCTTATATGTTAGGTAATTTGATTAAAATTGAACGAAATTAAAAGTATTGATAGAGGTGTGAGAGTATCATTATGTGATCGATAATTTTGAGTATGTAATCGAACAAAATGTAAATGATATGGTGCCATTTTTATCATTGGGCTTAGGAAAAACATTTTTCAGCCGATAAGGGAACTTCGGGGAGACAAGGGAAGGATACTGACTTTTCAAAATAACTTACATCTATAAGGGTCTTAGAGTTGTGGTTCTTGTTTTCAAAAATTTTGATCCTTTTTTTCCTGAAACAATGAAGAAGTCTTATCAAGATTTACTCAGTTGGTCAAGTAGAAACGGTCCACAAGTCGGGGAGAACACAAAATAATGAAGCATGAAGACCATCAATATGAGTAAGAACAATGGCTAATGAACAAACTATGGTTTGTGAATACCTTTCCATAACAAAGATATGGGAAGTTTGACCGTAAACAGATCTCAAGTTGTTTTGTTCTAGCCAATTTTAGAAACACCGTTGCATGATCAAATTAATGCAAATCTTGTGGACCATAGTGCATCAGAACTACCACTATAATGATTACATCGGGGACAATTGGTAATTATGCTTGATCCCCCCCCCCCCCCCCAAAAAAAAATGTGTGGCTGTAACTCATAGTTACTTTCTTGTGACTATTTTAATTGGTTCGAGTAATGGAAACAACCTCTTCGACTAGTTAGGCTTGGTTGAATTAGGAAGAGGACCAATCATACGATCTGTTTCTTCTATGCTTAAAAGTGATATAAGTAAGTGCCTGAACATGCACACTAGTATTATACTAATATCAAGCTGACCTGTCATTTTGATAATGTCAATTTTCTTTTCCCCAGATCATAGAAAATGGTTAATTTCTTTTGTTAATGAGTTTTGATCACAACATGAGTTTTTAATACTTATTGGTTGATCTAAGTTTTTGTTGTTAGATGTGGCAATTCAAAGGTTCTTTCACATGGCCCATAACCATGGTTAAGTGTATTTTGCAAAGTACGGAACATTCCACCATTTTGCTTAATGGGAATTGTTTTAAATTCATATAAATTGCAGCCTGATATCTAGATTGAAATAGATTTTTAGAGTCAGCTCGTATTTTGGGATTCTGGTGGTTTATGATAAGTTACAACCTATAGTTTCATTACTTGGGAATGTTTTTCCCCTAACTAAGTTATAAGGAAAAGGGTCAATTTTCTATTTATAGGAATTAACAAACCAGCCGGATTATGCAAGTAATTTCTTGAGAATATTGTCTTAGTGGGTTTAGGGAGAAACAGCCTAACTTTCAAGTGTAGGCCAACTGTTCCATTTTGTTTTATGTTCAATTAGTTCGATAATGGTGTTGGGTTCTATCACCTTGCTGCTTATAGATTTTGCAATCATACTAGCAGTTGTGTTTAAAAGATTGAATGACAGAAGCAGCCAAGTTTATGCTCATGCTAATGGCAAGAAGTGAATAATAATAATACAGCTTGTTTCTTTACCACATGGGATCGGTTTTGTTACATAATCATAGGCGACTGAACCTACATTATATTCGCCAAATTTTTTGATTTTTGATCTTCTGATAGCTAAAATCCAATAGTTCACCATATGATTTGCAATTATTACATTGATTGTAGCATTCAAACTCTCAGAAGTGACTTAGTATTGCGCTTTTTTCCAACTAAAACTGAAACAATGTTACAACTTGTTTATGTGCCGCAGCTTTGTTTCGTTACATAAGGACATGTTTGTGGTTATTGAGAGAAAATGACTCTCAATTAACTACATTATTTGCAAAAATGTTGAAAAAGTTTCTAAAGATTGATGTGACTCTTATTTGTGGGAATACTATACTGGGTTTGTTTTTATGTAACATCTGTGGATACTTGTGCAGGTAATCGCTATAACCAAGGCATTTACGATGGTTGAACAAATGGTTAGCTCTAATCTCAGCAAGTATGGGCTGGGAAATTGTGCAACCATCATGACCAGCTCTGACAGTCAACCAGTACCAACAATGAGAGATGTGCAAAATGACAACAAAAACGGACCCTTTGACAACTCTGCATTGCAAAAAGACGAGGCTGTTACTCAACCGTTTCAAGCCAAGAGTCCTCCGGGAAGCACTAGTAATAATAATAATGTCAATCGTAATCTTGTTTATGCCCGTAGAAAATCTGATGCAGAGTTGAGTAACTCACGCACCTCAGACAAGAATCGGATATCCAGCTATCAACAACTAGGTGATCAAAACCACATTCCTCATACGGAAGCAAAGATTAAGGCTAATGATAGCGTGCCATCTTTTTCACGTACTCCAGCTAACTCTGCAGCTGCTAGAATTAGAAATTGTGAAAATGAGCAATCTGTTATACTTAATTCTCCTGCAATGGATAATTGGAATGCAAGATTTGTTCAGTTACAGAAATACTTGAAACAATGTGATAGCTCAAATCCAGAGGTTTATCTTCAGAGTGAGTTTTGTACTTGTGATTACTCTTGAGTTAATTGCGATTTATATGTGTTCTGTACGCTAATCTGTTTCATTTCTATCCTATCGTACTAGAGGTCCGATCGTTTTCAACTGATGAGTGTAGCAGACGTGCGGTTGAACTGGAGAGACGAGCCATCCAACTAATGCTGGAAGAAGGTAAAAAGCATCATAGATTTTGTTAGAACTTGAAATCCATGGAGAAATTAAAAAGAAAGATATATGACTTGTTTGATTGGGACTATTAGAGTCCCACATCGCTTTTTGGACCTTTCTACTTCAATATATGTTGGACCCTTCCTTCTCACTTCAACGGGTTATTTATTTTTACAACTCAACAAATAATATTCGTGGAGTGGGCCCTACGTGTTTGTTGATTGTGTCGCAGGTCCGAACAAAAATCTACTGATCCAAATTCTCCGTCTCCTACCAATTACTTGGAGACACGTCATTATTTAATATAATTAATGTTTTAATTCACTTTTCTTAGTAAATGGATGATGTGGCTTCATGTGATTGGTTGACAAGGAATCTGGGGTCATCAAACTTTTATTATTTGCCAAATCGATGAATAGTTTTTGTGGAGTGGGCCCTACATACATGTGTTGTTGATTGTGTTGCAGGGAGAGAGATACAAAGGGTGAAGGATTTGAATGTATTGGGTAAATCTGCTGCAAACCATCCGCTTCTTCGACCAATGGCTGCTGTATTCAAGTCGGAGAAGCTGGTCTAAACTAGATTCTTCCGTTCAAAAGACTGCTCGTGTGATTAGAGGTTTGCTGCTTCGTATATGGCCTTCATTGTGTAGTTTGGGACATGTTTAACGGTTTGTTCAGTTATCTGATTTATGTTTTGGCATAGAAATACAATGTTAATTGATTGTCCAATATCTAATGCCTTCTTAAGATAGTTATATTATGCTATTTCATTCCATGGATGATATTACATATATATATATATATATATATATGTATATATATATAGTCACATTTGATTTCATTAAATGGTCTATGACATCCAAGATTTTTCCCAAAATTTGTCACGGCCATGTGAAAGTCGGGAATCAAAGCGGGTCATGGCTTTTAAGGAAAAAAGGCTTACAAAGATCCTTATTTTGTTGAAAGAAGTTTAACAATCTTTGATTATGTTGTTTTCCTTTTAGATTTCTTTGTGGCAACAAGCATTTTCCCACAATTTGGGCAAAATGTTGATTACCGTCAATCCCAACTGCTCCCATATGAAACTTGCCTCCAAGGACATTAATGTGAGGGGAGATTAGCAACGGCTGACATCAAAAAAGATTAGCGTCTTCCCATGCCCCTTCCATCGGTATCAATTGCTTAACATTAGGTAGCTCAGGTTATGACGGTAGATGCAATAAATCAACTTAAAAAACGAAACAATTACCAATATACCATAAGAACAGAACAAATCAAGATAAACTGGTACTTGTTTATGTGAGAATACGTGGAACCCCCATATCATTCTCCAAAAGAGCCCTTGAGAAGGAAGAGAAAGTTCCGAAATGGTCCAAGTTTAGCCTTTGAGGGACTCCACCACGCCCCCTCCAACTGAGGCTAATGGACACAGAATGTCCTAAAGTGTCGAGAGGGGGATGTCGAGTCCCTAGAGTGGCAGACCTTGACTCTGATACCATGTGAGAATATGTGAAACTTTTAGAAAGTGATGGGGTTTTTTCACAATTTCAATGTTTGAGCTTGATTTATTGCATCTACTGACAACACTTGAGCTACCTAAAGTTAAGGAATTGATATTGATGGAAGGAGCAATGGAAGACACTAATCTTCTGGAGTTCGCTTGGTTGGTAAGAGCATGCCCAAATTTGTAGAGATTTGTGATTCAGGTTTTAGATGTATATTTAAGTTACTAGTTTGAATAATAATTTTTTGTTACTAAACATAATAGAGACGCTCTCCATCCCTTTATGTGACGAGTACTCCCAAGACTAGTCCAACACTTGCATTAGGTATATAACAATATATGAATATAAGTGTAATATACATACAAACATTGGCTAAGACGTGAGTTGGAAACGTTGTGGAACTGACTGTCATATCGGTGTATTATATAACATATATGTTGATCAATGGTTGTGAACTTAAGGCATTTGTTGCTCAAGCTGCTCCAAGGGTTCTCAACAACGGAGAAGCTAACAAACTATACAGGTGACACCTCAAAAAAAGGTAAATAAATAAATATGAAAAGAAGGGGGAAAGAATTAAATAAAATTGGTTTTTATTTTATGGGACAAAAATATGAAGAAAAGTGTGAAAGGAGCCAATTATGCCATTTAATGAAAGTGAGAATTGAATAAAGGAGTGTGTATATATATATATATATATATATATATATATATATATATATATATATATATATATATATATATATATTCAGTCGGACCGAAAATGTGAAAAATGTAGTATTCACCAAAGTACTAAAGTTTGGGAGTCAAATATCATTATCTGATAGCTTAGAGGAGTGCCAAATGCAAAGTTCGTCATAGTCGAGGGACCTTTTTTAGCCAAAAGTATAGATCTGATTGAGTTTCACATCTTGAAGGCGATACTCGATTTTCTTCCTTCCTATTGGCTTGTTTAGCCAGCCAAAAATTTACAGATTTAAGTAGCTAATACTTTTATCTACATTTTCTATTCAAGAAAATCGAGATTTGGTCGAGTTTTGATAGATAAATCGGAGGTTGAAGTTCGAAGTCCAAAATCTCGGTTTATCAATGATTGGGGGGTTAAATACTCAACCAAACTTTGAGTGATTAGCTTTGTTTTAAAATTCCTCTATTGAACCTCGACAGTCTTATTTCTCATATTTTTGTTTAAAAGGTTCGGTTTTGAGTTTTTTCTTTAGATTTTTGAATGGTTAAAAACCGAAATTTTAAATGAGAAAATGAGATTCAATACTTAATTGATTATTATTCTCATGGTTGAGGAAAATCATTTTCTAGAGTTTCAGAAAAAAAAGTTGTCGGAAACGACGAAGAGACAAGCTCAAACCTGTGTCCGTGCAAGTGGATGCTCTAGGCATGGGGTTTGGAGTCGGATGAGATAGCTGACGGGGCAGATCCACATGTCTTGGGGTTGGGCTATGTCTAGTTATTAGGCTTAACATTTGAGTCGATTTAGATTTTAACTTTTTGGGCTTCATCTCATTAACCGGACCAAATACAATTTAACCTATTTTAGGTTTAAGTTGATTGAGGTTTAATTATTTAAATTAAATAATTTAGTTTCTAAAATTAATTAATATGTTATTTAATTAATATATTTTAGAATATTAATTAATTATTATTTCCTAAACAGGTGTTTATAAGATTATTTTAATTAAATTTGAATGAACACGCCTTACACAACAATCCCATGAAGGAAGCGTCAAGAAAGGGGGACAACGGGTAGGAGAAATGGAGGTTTGGATTTACAGCGTCATATTTGGTTAAATATTATTAAAAATATAAACCAACGTTAAGATTCGTTATCTTACGTAACACGACTGCTTTTAATACATGGGACAAGACATGATAAGACAAAACTCACTGTCCCACGTTTTGGTACGAGATGGGACAAGGACAAGAACTGTGACAAGTGGGACAACGTGGGATAAAAAAGAGTTTTTCGAGTTCCACCAGGATAGGTGGAACAAGATGAGACAAGAATGAGACAAACTAAAATATTATAACCAACCCTCGTTTGATATAAAACCTTAATATGATATTTATTTTAGTGGTCATCCCTGCTAGTTGCGGCCGCCACCACCACCGGTAGCCACCGTCGGCGACCTCCCCCTCCTCCACAACTACCATCCACTACCATCGTCTATCACCACCTCCACAACCACCATTGTCCATCGCTATTACCACCGTTGGCTACCTCCATCTTCTCTTCTACTACAACAACCTCCTCCACTACCTCCATAACCATCGTCGTCCACTGACCACCACCGTCCATTGCCACCACCACTACCACCGTTGGCCACCTCCACCTTCTCTTCTACTATAACCTCCTCCACCACCTCCACAACCATCGTCGGCCACCGACCAACACCATTTATCGCCACCACCATGGGCCACCTCACCTCCACCATCCACCACTACCACTGCCCACCACTACCACCGTCGGCCACCACTATCAGCTACCACTACCACTAGGCACTATCTACCATATTCATGTCCTCCACAACCACAACTGTCCATATCCACCACCACTAGTATCGTCGACCACCACCACTGCCACCATCACACCTACCTCCACCACATAAGCCACAACTACCTCCTCCACCACTGTCAACCGCCACCACCACCACTATCCACCATTTTCACGTCTTCCACAACCACTATCGTCCACCGATTACCAATGTTTCTATCTCCACAACCTTTGTTGTTGCAACAATCTTTACCGTGCCTTCACCAGTTGATAAGAATCTTCCAAACCAAATAAAACATAATTTCTCATTTGTATGAATCGATTTTTATTAAAAATACCATCAACTATATAAAAAGTTTCATTCGAATTTGGTACTATTTTATATTTATGTATATGAAAAATGTGTGAAAATGTTTATAAATTAAATTATTTACTTTATTTGTATTAATTATGACTATTATATGATATATAAAATCATAAAATAAATTTTGGGACAATTTATCTAGTTCTGTCCTATCTACTTCTAGTTGTACCAAACACCAAACAAACATTTATTCTGTCTAATCCTGTCGTGTCCAGTCCTACCCTCTTGTCCTGTCGAGTCTTGTCCAATTTAATCTAGTCCTGTCATTCCAATCATGTCTGCGTACCAAACCCTACCTTAGAGGTTTATTAAATTATTTTGATGATTTAATAACGAGATTAAAGCGTCGTAATTGAAGCTAAATAAGTATTGAGACATTTTAATTTGGAGAGATGAATTTATAAATTCATGAAATGATTAATTTGACGTTTTGAGGCGTTATCGAGTTTTAGACTTGAGATTTGACTAAATTTGGTCGAGCTTGACCTGGGGTTGACTTTTACCTCGTTTGACCCACAAAGATTTTCATGAAGAGATGAAATGGAGATATTTAAGACATTAAGAGAGTCGATTTTTAGAGTTCTCTTTAGGTTGGGTCGAGTTTGACCATAGTTGAATTTTGAAGAAATTAAATCATTAATTGTATATTATGAGGGCCGATCCTATGATTTTGGATGTCCTAAGTAGAAGGTAAAAAATGCCCTTAATTCAAAAAACGAAGAGACATAAAGTTTTAAGGGATTTGGAAGCTAGTCAAGTTTCAAAGTTTATCCCCATGCCAATTTTTATCAAAAAAAGTTACAAAGGATAACAAAAACCAAAGCCTCAAACAACAAAACAAAGATAAAATCACTTAAATGAGCAAAATAAACACTCAAATCATCAAGAAATCACTTAAATCTAACATACGAAATTACTCATATCTACGAGACAACAAATAAACATAAACTCGTCAAGATTCAAGCATTCAAGAAAATAAGTAAATAAGAAAAAATTAAGAACACCTGGGTATCAAGCCTTAAGGAAGTTAAGAGGCTGTTTGGTTGGACATTTCATCAAACATCTTATGTGCATTGACAACATATTACTACCAACTAAACAGACAACAAAAAGAAGTTAGACAACATAACTCAAAAATAACATAACCAAAACCATAAGAACATATATATGAATTTCTGAACAATCAACATTAACTATTCAACTTGATTTCTTGTATATTCATTCTAACAACTCAACCTAAAAAACCTTACAGGATTTTTTTTGACATGAACATCACGATCGATTCCATATCCAATGTCTAACCTCAAGTTTAAAAAAGGGGTAATAATGATAAATAAATGCCAACGATAAAGTATAAACTTTGAGCAATAAAACTTCAAGAAGAAAT